AATGGATGAAGAGAATGATCATCGTCTTTTTGTTTAAATTTTACACGTTTAAAAATTAAAAATAAGGTCGGACATTGCGTTAAGGCACACTCCTGGATATGTTCCATGCAGGGGTATTTTGATTTGCAACAGTAGCACCCACTTGAGCTCAGGTGCACAGAAAGAGTCTTTCCAAAACATATAGATGCCGGAGAAGCTGCAGGAAGGTCCGAGCCTCAGGCCAGGTGTCCTGGGAGGTGCTCACAGGTCCTCCCGTCCCTCAGGCTGCCCAAGCAGTGACCCACTGCCCCGCCCATGTCCAGTTCCCAGGACTGGCATTCTTGCATTCAGCTTCTGCAGGTGAAGGACCGCTGCCTTTCCCCCAGAACCAGAAATACGTGGTAGGGGGGCCCCAACGATGTCCATCAGAGTAAAGTCCGGTGATCCCGTGATCGGAGATGACTGAGTGAGGCCACAGTCAGCAACCTCTCTCTTCTCTGCCTGAAGATGGATGCCCCCATGCACACAACATAAGTCCTCACAGGGAGGAGATTCTGAGCTGTTCCTGGAGCGGGGAAGACAGAAGCCCCTGATTCAACTGGGAGCAGACAAAGGAGAGATGAGAGGACCCAGGGGAAGGGCCACCTGGGCTGAGGCTTGATATTCATGCTTAGGAGCACAGGCTCAGTGTCGGTTTGTAGGACTTGGCCAGAAATCATCACACCCAAGTGTGAAGGCAAAACCAAATTCACCTCAACAAAACGCCTTCATTACACAATCCCCGACACCCCTTGTCCACTTCAAGGTTTTGGAAGCTTGAGATACTGTGTAGCTCATGATGGACCTGGGGTTCACTCACATACTTCCAAGTTCGTGGAAAACCACATAAAACACCTGCCAGACTTCTGATTCTGCTACGGGCCCCACCTGGTAAGACCTCGAAGGAGATGCTCCAATGTCAGCCAGTCATGGGAAACTTGCGGTTCAGCTGTGAGGATCTGTAGTCAGGCTGCACAGGCTGTCCAATCCCCTTGCAAGTCATCCACCTATGCATTCTGTGGTTTGGCTTTGAGAAATTCTTCAACCCATCAAGCCCCGGGGTTCATACTGTCCATTGCAGGTAAAAACTGTGTGTTTCTGCTTTGCAGACCTTGCAAACAACAAACTAGCCCTTTTGCTTCAAGACACCCTGATTCTTTTCTGGGATTTGATTCTAATTTTAGGGTGGCATCAGAAACAGTGCAAAACTTCTGTAGATTAAGGACGTCCCAATCTTGATTGAGTATTTACTGTCTGTCAAGCACTGAGCAGAGAGCAGACTGAGAACTGATTGAGGAGCTTCCTGGTCTGGGAGAAGCTCTGAATCCACAGAAGGAGAGAAGACATGCTGAGAAGTGCCTGCCATCCTAGGAAAGTGGACAGGGCTCATGCTCGGGAAGTTCAGGGAGGGATCCTAGATCTAGAAGCTGCCTGGGGAGGACAGGACTGGGCTCCGCTTTCAGAGATGAAGAAGACATGGTTGTGGAGGAAGCTGGCAGCAGGAGCAATGGAAGCAGGTCCTTTAAGGGCAAGGGATCAGAAGGAACATGACGCAGCCCTGAAAGTCAAGTTTTCTAACATTTTCAGTGGAGACGATCATTACACCTGGAAAGTGCAAAAGTGACAGCTAATACAGGGTCATCTCATTTTTTCAACTTCGACATCATTTTCGATGAAATGAGACACAGATGCTGTGTGATACATTTCAAAACTGCATTGACATTTTATTGTTAATGTGAACAGCAAAGGGCCATGTGTGTCTTTGTTTGGATAGACTCACTTCTCTGCACCAGACACACAGGCCTGGTATGTGGACAAGTGACTCCAGCAAGTTCCCATTCTCTCCCTGCAGGTCCTGTGAGGCATCGACCTCCTGTCTGTTCTCTGCTGTGGACGGGGCCCAGCTCAGGGGCTCCATCAACACTCCCTGAGACCCTGCCCTTGGGAAGTGACCGGTCATGTCACGATCAAGATGAGGACTTGCACTAGAAGGCACAGACAAGACTTTGATCTTATGGAATTGGCGTTCTCCTAACAGCAAGATGGATGTTGTGTGTGTGTGAATGTTGCCTGTTTGTCTGACATCCATGGAGCCAGCAGCCCCCATGCCATTCCTCATACGGCCACCAGAGAGAGGTGTGTCACTGCTTCTGAGAAACATGCTGCTCCATTCCAAAGTGGTCCTTACCAGTCTAGCCTCCCTCAGAACATGTTTTAGAAACTGAGGCTTTGCTTAAGGTATAGAGATTTGCTTTTCTTCTTCCATCTCGT